GGCCGATGTCCGATATTCAGTTTTAAGGCCGATTATATCGTGCATCCCTAAAAATTTATAACATTTTCAACATTTAAAAGATTGTACTTATTTAAAATATTACATACCGTACATGGAAAGAATTGTGTTTTTGGTCAAACACTTTTAGAGATTTTTTGCACAGTGATTAATTTAATTTTAAATTTGTAACTGTGGTGAGAGACCAACTTGTGATGCAGTATTCAATGTGAGATAAAATCATTGAGTGGAGAACAATTCTAGCAGCACCAAGTGTTAAAGTTTTTAAGGTTGAATTTTAAAGTATTGGCAAGTTTTTTGATATGATTTTTAAAGGTCAAAGTGTAATCAAGTATCCCGCCAAAGTACTTGAATTCTGTGACAAGTTGTAATTTGAGGTTTTTGGTCCAAACTACTAGAAATGGACTCAAGCGTATTGAATTCACCAAAGAAAAAATAAATCAGACAGCTTATCTCATAATTACGAGATACGGATCTCGTAATTATGAGATATTATCTCATAATTATTGCTCTCATCCAGTTTTTTACTTGTTTTACAGCATCTTCTCATACAAGGCTTGGGGAGGTTTAGTGAGTTCAGGACATCAGTCTTGGTATTTTTGTTGGAAAAAAACCCAGATAGCAATCTGGAAGGTGCATGTGTAAAACAACCGGTTCCACAAACTATGAAGTACTTGCTTCATTGTGCCTCCATTACTTTTAGTAAATAGTTTATTTTCTTCATCTATATTGATTTTTTTTGTTTTGACATTTCTGATAATAATTTCATCTGCAGAGCAAGAAGACGAGGAGGCAAACACAGGATCGCACCTGAAGCTGATTGTGGACGCCTTCATCCAGCAGCTGCCCAACTGTGTCAACAGGGACCTGATAGACAAGGTGAAGAAGCTCTGGTTGTTTCTGAACCATTCCAGACATGCTTTAGCCTTATCTCTGCTGCAGCAGGTGGACGGGTTGGAAAACATCAAACATGTTGCTGTTCTCTACTTTTTCAGGCTGCAATGGACTTCTGCATGAACATGAACACCAAATCCAACAGGAGGAAGCTGGTCCGAGCCCTGTTCACTGTCCCCAGGCAGAGGTTAGCCAGCCACCCATTAAAGGAAGGATTTTGAATTGATGTCTCATACCCAGAACCTCCACAAAGAGGAGCTATCACTCTGCGCTTTTGTTTTAAGATGACTGACTGATCTTTCAGGTTGGATCTCCTGCCTTTCTACTCTCGCCTGGTGGCAACGCTGCATCCCTGCATGTCTGACGTGGCCGAGGATCTCTGCTCCATGCTGAAGGGAGACTTCCGCTTCCATGTAGGCCATTTTCATTTCCTTTAAATCCTAAGCTTCACTGGATCTTTATTGCACCAACGAGACTAAAATAAATTGCTTTCTGCAGGGTCAACGGGCGCTCTTAGTGTTAATATTAGTTTTTGGTCTTATATAGAATTTGCAATTGAATTTATGCAATAAAATGCACAGAAATATTCCTCTCAGCTTAAAAATGTTTCAGTTGTTTAAGAAAGAAAAGTTAAAAGAAAAGTTTTCCATCTGAATTTGGTGGTTTTAGATCCGTAAGAAGGACCAGATCAACATCGAGACAAAGAACAAGACAGTCCGATTCATCGGGGAGCTGTCCAAGTTCAAGATGTTCTCAAAGACGGACACTCTTCACTGCCTGAAGGTGAGTCCGAACCAGAGGCTCGGGTCTAATCAGTCTGGATCCAGATGTGGGAACGTCCTCTCCGCTCAGACGCAAACACGTCTGAAGACGAATCCATCTTATAAAAAAAGGTTTTCAAATTAGAATAAGAGCTCTGTAAATGTTTGTCAGTTGGAGCTGTAATCTGTGTGCCAACAGATGCTGCTGTCTGATTTCACCCATCACCACATCGAGATGGCCTGCACCCTGCTGGAGACCTGCGGCCGCTTCCTGTTCAGGTCGCCAGACTCTCACCTGCGGACCAGCGTCCTGTTGGTCAGTGCTGATCCCATTTAGCTTCTAGAACATTATCACAGCCTTACCTCTGGTTAGCTTATAAACCTGCTGTCGCTGATCAGAAGGAAGGTTTAGCTTTTGCTGCAGCAGCTACGTTCTCATTTCACCATCTCTGTCCCAGTTCGACGTTTCAGTCGATGTTCAGTCCGATCCTCTTTGCTCCGCAGGAACAAATGATGCGTAAGAAGCAGGCGCAGCATCTGGACGCCCGCTACGTCACCATGGTGGAGAACGCCTACTACTACTGCAACCCGCCGCCCATAGAGAAGGCCGTGAAGAAGAAGAGGCCGCCGCTGCAGGAGTACATCCGTAAGCTGCTCTACAAGGACCTGTCCAAGGTGACCACGGAGAAGGTGCTGAGGCAGATGCGCAAGCTGCCGTGGCAGGACCCCGAAGTGAAGGGCTACCTGATCTGCTGCATGATCAACATCTGGAACGTCAAGTACAACAGCATCCACTGCGTGGCCAACCTGCTGGCCGGCCTGGTGGCCTACCAGGAGGACGTGGGCATCCACGTGGTGGACGGAGTGCTGGAGGACATCCGGCTGGGCATGGAGGTGAGGACCGGGTCCCAACTTCAGCTATTGTTTTATTAAAGGAAAAGTCCAGTCAGCAAGGAATGATCAATGGATCATTATTTAGACCTAAAGCTAATATGTTCGACGTGATTTAATGAATTTAGCGTTAATCAGTAAAAAAACAATAGTTTTTCGTCTGGGAGCGGCCATTTTTGCCCAAATATAGTAACTATA